AAGAATATCATAATATCTCTATAATAAACAAGATTATAGCCTGGCAACTTGAAGCCAATGCCTCGTTAGTACACCACCTGATTCTAGATTATGAACACCATCTGAAAGGTCTTGTTCAAGCTGAGAGTAATTATTCGATGCTTCTGAAAACCGCTTTTCCTGAATGGGAGGATAAAAATGATGCTGAAATTGTACGAATTCGCTCTCAATGGCATCAACTCGTTGAAACCTTGGACAAGTTAGAGATCGAGGTCGAATCAGCATTGACTACGCTGAAGCAATCTGTAGAGACTGCATTTATCTGTACGAATTCCTACACTCCCTCATACGAATTTAGCTGCTACGATCCATGCGCCAGGGGATTTCACTCTCTTCATATTAATGAAAAACATTTTAGTGACCTAAAGTCGCTTAGACTGGTAACCCTTAGAAGGTGGACCGGTAATGTGGCTGAGCACATAAAACAATCTATGGAGTCTTAATATCTGGATAAAAACTTTTTCAGTACCTTCAAATTACTTTATTTCCTTGATACTTTATTACTTATCTCACTGCAATAAATAGTTGATCCTATCTTGTGTTTTTATCTTTACGCATTAAAATGGCTTCTTTATTGTTTTTAATCCGTCTAGATCGGATCCCTCTGTCATGAACGCTAGCTTGCTTCGCCGTGCTATATGAAAATGCCAGAACAGAGCTTTTCGCCTATAGCCGAGGCCGAACGCGAGGCAGAAGCCTTTATAAACTATCGCCGAAACTACCTTTCTTCCGTTTTACATCAGCATCACTTTTTAGATTGTTTCACTGACTCTAAATATACTTCTATAGAAGATTGCATGCCTCTCCGAAGTCAAGCTGGAATGTTTGCTTTACTACAAGATATTGCGGAGGCAAATCAAAGTAAACGAGTTGAAATTCGTCTTCGTCTAAATCAATCACTAAAATTTCTTGACCAACTTGATTTGAAAGTCGATGTAGATGGTTTAAATGGAGATCACTCTGATTCAGTTTCACTTATATCACAGCCCTATCCGCAAACTATCACAGAGAAAGCTATAATTTACTATAGTAAAGGAAGAGTAAGTGCTTTCTATATTTTGGGAATTTCCCTTCTTCAGACTTTCACTTGATTCTACTTTTATATCAGATACTTAACGCTTACTTGGAAGGTGGGAGTGACGAAGATTGCTCTGAGGCTAGCTCCCCCGGTGTGGATTTTTCTCCAATTTCTCCAGACGCTGCTGAATATTGGCTC